TTTTTAAAAACTAACATATTTGAATTTGTTTGAATACTTTATTGCATCGATCTCACCTGAATGAATAATAAAATAGTTCGATAGAAATGAAAAATGAAATGCACACGTATTATGCAACTATTTTAAATTTTTCAATATAATAATAATTTATGAGTTAAATTTAATTTTTCGAATATTAATCAAGTTAAAGCAAAATAAATTTAAGCATATATATGAAATTTTTAATGATTTTTGAATTGATTGATGAATTAAAAACTTTTATATTGCCGATATCGTTTTTTTTCTTGCAATTACTATCACTTCCATTATATTATCACGTTACCTATTACTGCCATCAGCTGTAATTATCGATTTTTGTTTTTGTTTTTCTTTTGGCATTATTGATAATTATCGTTTATAATTGCTTATTTTTTAAATTCATCATATACTGCCTTTTTCTTTTTCCATTTGCTATTGTTTTTTTTTAGTTCTTCTAATTTTCTTAATTTTACAACGATTGTTTACATTGTATTATGCATATATTGCATTAATTATTTCAAGCATAAATTGTTGAAAATTAAACTTTTTAATGAAAATATCACACTGACATTTTATGAAATATTCCTACTGTTAAATGAATAAAATATTTGATTTTTTTAATGAATATTTTCGGGAAAAATTGATCTAAACAATTTTATTTTAATTAAACTATCCATGGAATATTGATGGAAGGAATATTCTTGATTAATTGTAATTATAAATGATAGAATATTTAATTCATTATGATGGTGATTATCAACAATGCAAATTCAACAATCAATTATTAAATGATTAAAACTGGAATCGTTTAAGAGAATTTGAAATTTCAAGAAATTTTTTTTGACATCAAAATTGTAAAATGAATTGGAAATCAATTCGAGAAGTTTAAAGTGATAATTTAGAAAGTTAGAGAAATTTTTTAGTTAACACAGAACTCTAAAGTTATATTCTGCTACTTTTATGTTTATGTCGCATCAAATAAAAATTCACCGAAATTTTACTGAAATATTTGATAGATTTTTATGGTTTTTTTTCCGTGACAAATTTAAATAGGATTGCATGACAATACTATAAAAGAATAGCAATCACTCATTGAAATTTACATTTTCCTTTTTTGTGAAAGATTTAATTCAAATTAACTCATTTTACTTGCGTTCTTTCTCAGTCAATTAAAAATAACTCAATCCATTTATAATGAAATTGCATACAGTTTGACCCAGCAAATCTTAATTTTATGCTTTGAATTGAATATTTTGACAATAACTATAAAAGAAATTTTTTTCCAACAAAATTCAAAAGTAATTGTAGTATGAAGAAAAATTTAATTCATACTGGAAGTAATAAAACATTGTTTTTTTTTGAACCCAACCTTCTTCCAATGGAGTTAAGTTAACTTTTATAATCGAACTGACTTATCCCATTAATTTATCATTATTGAAATACACATAGTAATTTTTCAATGTATTTAATTGCAAAATAAAATAAATTTTATGGTTATGCGATTGAATATAATTTCTATTAAACAAAAGCAGAAGCCGATAAATTCCAACTTATCCAATTCACATTGTAACCGGATAGTTATAATGATAATGATAATAAAAATATCATTTATATATACAATTCTTAAAAAAGAAAGAGCGAAAAATAAGTAAAAATTATGACTAGAAATGTTTTAACTTCAAGTAAGCATATTGAGCCTAATAAGTTAGTTAATTAAATTAATTTTAGCAGCAGCCAATCGAATGAGAGAAAAATTTATGTCAGAATTGTCATCGATGCATTTATTCACCCTTATTCATTCTATTACTTACTTGCTTACTTACTCATTTTCATCCATTCTTGTGACTTCAATCTAATTTATTTTAAATTTGAAATTTTTAAAAAAAATAGAAAGAAATAAGAATAAAGAAAAAGTTGTAGATTGCAGAATTTTCACGGTGTTTCAAGATACTCTAATCAAATCTTCATCAATCATTACTCTTTTAATTTAAATAAAACTAATTTAACATTCAAAAAAAAAATTGTTATTTTTTTGCTAGCTGAAATTGTATGTGAAATAATGAAAATGCTAATGCATTAAGTTAGTCTTTTTTTTTTCTAAATATAATCTTTGTTTTTGTTTTCAAATATGCATTTGAGAAATGCAACTTTAAATTTCTTTATTTTTCAAATGTCACACGGACCTTATTTGTGCATTTAGCAGAAAGGATAATTGAATCTGCGATATATTTTTGATTTTATAGAAATTAAAATTTAAAATAAATTTGTTATATTTTTAGTGCATTTTGTTTGCTTCGTAGTTATGAGATTGTGATAACTGCTTGCTGAAAACAAATGGATCGCAGCTAGTTAGAGCCTATTCAGGCCTACAGGCCTCATCTCACTCACATTTTTTGTTTTCTCATTTACAGATTGATAAGCACTTGCAATATAATTATTCTATTCATTGTTTAGAGTGCCTTTTTCTCATTCACTTAATCCGAGCAAAAAAAAAAATCTCTTTAAAATTTTTTTTTTTTCTCTTTCCTCGCTTTACAAACCTAATGAGCTTCCCATAATTCCTCCTCACTTTCCATATCTTCTCTGTCCTTTTTTTTTTTTTTTTGTTAAATGTAATTTATTATTAGCATTTGAAATGTGTGGAATTTTGTAAGGTTTAAAATTATGATAATTAGGAATTTATAATATAGTATGATTGATTAAGGGAGAAGTGTGAATGAAAAAGAATTGTGATGAATAAATATTGAATTGTGTTAATTTTTGAGTTTCATTTAAAAATTTTTTTTCTCAAAACTTGCTAAATTATTTTGTTTACACTATCCTTCAAATATTTCATTTATTATTTGCATATTTTTATAAGCAGATATGATAGATACATATGTGCATTAATCAATTGATTAAATTGACGGGTATGTTATGATGGGTACAATGGTATCATCACCATCAAGTCCCGAGCCTGAAGATGCTTCAACAATTTCCGAACGATTATTGCTTACGCTTGCTCAGAGACCATTACGAATGACCAATATGTTATATATGACTAGGTATCATTAATATTTGTAAAAAATTTAAAAAATATAAATGAATTTAGGAATAAGTAATTCAGGTGCTTATTTCAGAGTAAATAATTTAGGTGTTTATTTCATATTTAAACAAGTGTGACATCTCTTTTTGCAATCAATTTTCATTTAATGATAGAGCATTTTGATGCTTTTTAAAGTTTATTTATTCAATTCTTCTTATTTTGTATGTGAAAATTAGTAATGCTTAATTTGTATGATCAAAATGTAAATAATTAAATGGATAAATATAAATTGTTTCAGGATTATAAGTGATTGTAGTTCAGAAGAGAAATTAAGATTGTTTCAAGCAGGGGTCCTTCGACGAATATGTGAAACAATAGCCGAATATGGTGGCATCAATGAATTAAATAGGTTTGTGCTTGTAAAATTTTGAAATAATTTTATAAAGTAAAATAGCATTTTTTGTAAACTATTAAGAATAAAATGAGTCAAAATAATTATTTTGTTGATTTTCAAATACCAATTATTTATTAACGATTGGAAATTTGTTTACTATTGAAGGAAAGTTTAATTAAAAATAGTCAATTTTTTAATTAAATTTTTTCAAATCTT